AAAATCATTTCACAATCAGTGTTTTGAAAAAGAATATGCATATGATGAGATCAGCTTACCTGTTCTTAGAGACAAAGATGTAGGAGTAAGAAGTCAGTTTGTGTGTATTCTTTGTTCTTTGAGAGCTTGCGGTCCACAAAGGAGCGTGCGTGTGCTCTTCATCGTCACGTGTTGGGCAGAATGGTGTAGCAGACACGGATAGTCTGGTCCACGGTCCATATTGTGCCTCTGCTTCTGTGTTTCCTTCTCTAAGTGTTTCCTCTGCTTGAACTCTAGCACACTCACCTCTAAAATGCGAGCATTATTACTGGCTTTCCCTAGGCTGTTCTGAAGATGCCTCGAGCAAATCTATGTATAGCTTATATTCCAGTGCCTGATCCAGACTATTAGCTGCCGATAAATAATAGCTATTGTCCACAGAATTCTCATACCTGTCTTATAAATCTATTCGATGTTTAACTGGAGAAGAAAAACACTGTCACTTGCCTAAGATCACACATTTGTTATGTATGGGAATCAGACAAAGATGATAGATAGGTAGATAGATCTCAGAAGGTTCATTGTTAACCATTCTGTCCAAAAACCGTGAACACTGTAGGAATTCTTTGAAAGACAGGCTATGAATCAAGTTGTCAGGTCCCCCCAAAGAGGAGGTCTTGGACTTATCTGAAGTCAAGTTTGTGGCCTGGGAGGAAGCTGGAGTCCAGGGAATGAGCCAGGGAGGACTCTGACAGTTGGAGGTGTCAAAGCAATTGAGAACGCAAGAGCATTCGTGCTGAGTAGAAGTTTTAAATGGTGAGAAACTTGGGCATAAGCTGGAAAACAATGAAACTACCCTGGGCCTGAGGAAGGAAGTGGTAAAGTTGAGGCAGTTGTAGTATAAAGAGCTTACTGTGCCTGCTTACAGATGCCCATGGTGCAGTGAGGACTAGTCACAGGCCTGAAAGTCTTTGCCTTTTCAGTAGTGTTGTGGGAATACAAAAGTATGGATTTGAGGGGGCCGTGGGGGGAGTGGGGAGGGGAGCCTGCTGGCAAGTTAAATTCAGCAGAATCGTGGGATTCTTACCTATGGGTGCTCTGATATCTGTGGGCCTTTTGCGGGAGGGTGCAGTGGCCCCGAGTGTGTTTGGGTAGCCACGTCACAGCAGAAGTGCTGAGCTGAGCTGAGCTGAGCTGAGGCCCGCTGCCTGGCAAGCACAGCTGATTTCCTATGGGCCTCAAGTCTAGAACAGTGTCTATAATTTTTAAAGCTAAAAAAGAAGAAGGGTTTTCTTTTTTTCTACAGGAAAGCTACTGTACATACAATGTGATTTTTCATATCTATAAATAGAGGTTTAATGGACCATAGCCCTACTCATTAATTTACTTACTGTGTCTGGCTGCCCCCAGAGAGAGGAGGTGTTGCCATAGAATAGCCCGCAGGGTCCACCACATTTGGCTTCTTACAGGAAAGGCTGAGCTGTGGTGTAGGCCACAGGCTCTGGAGTCAGCCTGCACTGACTTACATTGGTTCCCTCTCTAACTGAGCGACTAACAAGTCGACCACCCTGTGTCACAGTTTCCCCATTGTTAAAATGAGATCATCTTTCTCTGAGTTCACTGAGGAGAAAGATTTGTGCCGGTGTTGTTCGGACAGTTGAATGCAGAGGTCTGGGTGAATGATTCGGGGATGATAGTGCACACTGTGTGTACCATTGTTGCCCCCGATTGACATGTTTTGAAATTTTCTTGTTTTTTTCTTCCTTTTTTCTTCTCCTCCTCTTCTTCTTTTTATCCTTGAATAAATAGATTTGGAAAAAAATAAAACCAAACAAAATAAAAAATAAATAAAACGAGCTCATCACAGCAGTTACTGTACAGAGATGGTGGGAAGAGTAAACTAGGAAATGTTATGTGTCAAGCACTAAGACGAGTTCCTGCGGCCAGTGTTAAGTCGCTAAGATTTATTTGTGCTGGAGTTCTGCAGTCACAAGGAGATCGTAATTCTCTTAACATGAAGATGATGAAAGTCACCAAAGTGTTCCCGGGTGGATTAAGGTGACCCTGATGAGTACACTATCCGACGCACACAGACGGATCTCTGCAGAGGTTTCCATGGTATTCCAAACATCCAAAAGACTATTTTTTCTCACTCCATCAACTGCTAGGACAATCTATTCTCACCTCTCACTTGCTTGCTCCCGGCCAGCTGCAGAGCTAAGCACAGTGCTGCCCTGTGGGGCAGTAACTTAAGTGCTTGTGCCCTGGACTCCAGCCCCTCCCAGGCTGTGCTTGCGGCTCAGTGGCTCACGTTCCAGCCACTCCCAGCCGGAGCGCGGGATTGCAGTGCAGAGGACGGGACTGAGGGGTTCCTGTATGCCATGTCCATATCAGTGAAACTGTTTTTGAAGGCGTAAAAGAATTATACTGGGTTATATCGATGTGATAGGCATTTTCTTACTTTCCATATACTCTGCTTTGGTTTTTAGCTGTCAGGAGAAAGAATGGGGGCAAAGATAAGAATCATTGTGTTTCCAAGAGAAAGAATATCAATCCATTACTTTAAAAATCATAAGTATAAGTAAAGATCACCTGGTAGTTCCTTTCTGTTTGTAATTCAACTCAAGGTATTTTAAATTGTTGAATCAATTCCTTTATGAAAAAATATGACCTCTGTTCTGTCTTCATTATCTCTTTGTTTCTTTGCCCGCTCCCTTCTTTTACTTTCTTCTTTTTCTTCCCTGTCTTCTGAATAGATCAAGAAAAGTATTTTGGCAAAACCAATCTAACCCAAGTGTGGTAACACACACCTGTAATCCCAGAGAGGCAGGAAGATGACAAGTTTGAGCTCAGGCTGGGCAAACTTACTGACTTAACAAGACCTTGTCTCAAAACTAAAAATGCAATTTTTAAAAACAGAGTGAGGTAGGGATATAATTCAGAATTAAGACTTTGGGTTCCAGCCCCAGTTCTGAGAAAAAAAAATACAGCCAATACCAATTCATGATAGAAATTCACAGCAAACTGGCCATGGTGGTGCATGCCTGTGATCCTAGCTCTCAGGAGGCTGAGGCAGGAGGATTGCTGCAAAGTCAAAGCCAGCTGGGCTACCAAGCAGAGTCAAGGCCAGGGTGAGACTCTGACTCAAAGCAACAACAACAAAAACCTACAGCAACCTGAGATAGAAGAGAACTCTCCATGCTGGATAAAAAGTATCTCCCACACTCTCAGCAAATGTAATAATGAAGTCTTAAGAATAATGACTGTAGAATCAAAAATGAGATTAGTGTACCCACTGACTTGCCTTAGGTTATAATGAACAATATACAAGTGGCCCTAGCTAGGGCAAGAAGATAAGAAAAAATTTTTTTAATGTGGGAAGGATAAAACAAATTATTAATATTCGTGAAATTCTGCCTACAGAGAACTGTTTCTGCCTGCATGCTTATGTGTTCATATTGTCTTTCTCCTTCCTTTCCCTACTCTTTTTCTTTCTTTCTTTATTTCTTTCCTTCCTTCCTTCCTTCCTTTTTAAGATAGGAGACAGAGGCTTACTGTGTAGTTCAACCTGGCCTTAAGCTCATCATGTAGTCAGGGATATAGCACAGCAGCACAGTGCCCGCTTGACAAGTGCAAGGTCCTGAGTTTGATTCCTGGTACCAAAAAAGAAAAAAAGGAAGGAAGCAATCAGACTCATTACATAGCCCAGACTGGCCTTGCAGTTATCCTCCAGCCTCAGCCTCCTGAGTGCTGGGCTTGCAGGCATGTGCCACTGTGCCCGGCGTGCTGGCTCACTGGCTCACTTGCAATCTATCTCTGTCTCTGTCTCTCTCTTTCTTTCTTTCCCTGCATAGTAATAGACTCTTCTATCTTGTATTAAAACCACATGGTGGAGGTGGTATGTGCCCTTGAAGCAGGACGTCTTATCCCTGGGTTTAGCATCTGCCGTGCCTAGCTTGGTCAGCAGCCTGAGTTGTTGAGGCAGCCTGTCTGCAGAGCCTGTCCTTTCATCTGTCTGTGAAGCCTGAAAACACCCATGGTATTGCATTTGCTAGTTCTCCTTAGAGCCATTCCACTGACATCTGGAACATTTTCCCGGAGGGCTCTCTTTGGACTGCAGTTATATGTAACTGGAGCTACGCTGAGTAAAAGGACAAGAAAATCAAATTAGGCCAATTATTATTTTTAATCTCCTATTCTCACAGAAGCCCTCACTTCACTTATGTGGGTCAGGTATAAAGCTTCCCACCATAGATCCATAACCTGGGAATGTTATGCTTTGAGCCTGCACCTGCTTGCGTTGCTGGATCATAGCACTGAATCGTAGGATGGTTGTTTCTGGTTCAGTCCTTGTTGCTTGGAATGTCAGATGGCCAGCGAGCAGCCTGATGTTTACTTGCAAATGGGCAGTGCCTTAGGCCAGCAGTTTTAATTATGATCTCCTGTGGCAGCACTGTGCTCAGCCTACAGGGAGGCCGAAATTGGCATCAGACGTGTCGTCCAGCACTATAGATAATGCCTACTCGGCTGGGCCATGTGAAATAAGCAGTAAAATCAGCAAAACTTGGACGAGAGGAACAGAGGTGGATTGTGCCGCAGCCTGTCGAGCATGCCTTGCTTCCTGCTCCTTTTTAAAAGCAAGAGAACCCAGCTGGGGTCTGCCCTGTGCCTTCTCCATCCTGATACAGAATTTTGGACATAGCAAATTCCACCATAAAAATGAGACCCAGCGACTGTGAGCTATGAGATGCTAGGAAGTTATTGGAGCCCAAGCCTTACTCTCCAGGGAATTCCCTGTCCCCTCCTCACTTGCTGCAATGCAGTTTATGGCACCAAAGGTAGAGAGATCACAAGCCTGGCATTTCCAGACCAAGGCAGGAGCTATTTAGAGAAATCCAGGGGATGCTTATGAGGCTGTGTGTGCGCATGTGTGGATTCAGTATGCTGGTGGTGCAGCTCTGACGTAAAAAAAAAAAATTTTAATTCTCCTCTGGGCACAGATGCTCAGGAAGCAGGGCTGGACAGGGAGCATGCTGAAGGACAGGCAGACCTTTCCCTTCCGCACTCTACATCCTTTAACGCACCATCTCTCAAGTCGGGAGAGTCATCTGTTTCATTCTGGAACCCGACCTTCCAGTGTCTGAGATTTTTCTGCGTTTAGCTTAGCAGGCTAAGAAGCCCAAGAATCCCCGGCAGCCCAGATTTATTTTCCATCAAGGAAAACTTTCTGACTACTTTGAGAAATCACAGAGTTCCTCTTGGCTATATCGTGTTGTTTTGAACTTTTTCTTTCTTGTTTTAAATTTTACATTTTTCTATATAAATGCCAAAAGCCATGGAGATGATGTGTTTCACAGAAGGCTTCTGACTTCTGAGGCTGGCCCTGAAATGACATGAGAGCTTCTCGGCAGAAGTCCAGGTTTACAAAACATTTTCCAGGTACCTGCTATCCTCAGAACCCTCTGCAGGGATGCCCTGAAGGATTGAAGCTCTGGCTCACTCCTTGAAACTGAGAGCAATGGCTGAAAAGGAAAGATAAACACCCGGGTTCCATCTAGAAATGGTTGAGGTTTGCCACAATTGGCTACTGTGGCTTTTTCCATCAAAATTTGGTGTCTTCACGTGCTGTCCAACATCTGCGGCAGGTCAGATGGAGCTTAGGAAGACAAGGGTAATGTTCTTTTTGTCTTTGTAGAATGTTTTGTCTGTCACCTCTATTCCCCACAGCTTGTCACTTTGATCTGTATAATTCATGCCATTGGAATAGGTAGGGCTCTCTCCTATCAGCCAGTTTTGGAGAAACTTGGAGGTTTGGAAATATTTTCTGTGGCAGTGATTTTCAAAATTCATGGCTATAAATAGTATAGAAAACAACACCCGTGATGTGTTTTCTCTTCCAATCAGGTTTTATTTATGAATGTTAACGCATGCATTTCAAACATACTGTTGATCCAGAGATGCTCTCATAAGACATCAGCAATAAAACTTTTTAAAAGCACAGATTTTTAATTTAGTGCATTTTAAAAAAAGATGCTTTGCACTTTAGAAAAGCCACAACATAAAGCTTTAGGCAAGGTGAGGGAAAGGTTTGTTAAAAAGATGAAGCCAGAAGCAACAGAAGGCCACTGCCCTACAAGGTCATACAGGACTGCAAATCAGAGGTCACTTTGCTCTGTAGGATGAGAAAGTGTGGTTTCATTGAGTGGAAACTTCTGAACTGAAAGCTGCAGGTACTAGTGCTAAGGGCTGAGAAGCAGATGCCCGACCCTCTGTGTCCTCAGAAGGTGTCTTTCTTTGTTGACTTTGCGTGGCATTTGTCCTTCCTGCTGCCTGCGCCCCGTCATCTCTAAGGAGCTGGCATACAGCTGGGTACCGCTGACGCTCCTCAGACGGTTACTCAGTTCATGTATATGTGGTGCTGAATTGGGTGGTAGTTTTAGGTCATCTTCAGAATTGACTTTGATATTTTTCTTTCTTTCTTTAAACCCCACAGGAACCTAGTAATAAACGGGTCAAACCTCTGTCCAGAGTCACATCACTAGCAAACCTCATCCCACCTGTGAAAACAACGCCTTTAAAGCGCTTCAGCCAAACCCTGCAGGTAAGAAGGGTTGTGTGGCTCCTGGCCTACCGAAATTCCTCTGGTTCACATTGACCTACACCAACACTTACTTCAGCAGAAGAGTGCAAGTGAGGCTAAAAAGGAGGAAAATAGTTGCAACCTTCCCCTTGGGTCAGGCAGAGTTGGAGCAGTTTCAGTGGGGTTTCTCCTTACAGTTGTGTTCCTCAGTTGTTCTACAGGCTTTGCTCCAGAATAGCTAATGGCTGCTAAGGAAACCAGCAGGTAAGGTGAGCCAGCCCGTAGCAGAGACTGGTGGCTTCAACCTGGAGCAGCAAACTGCAAGTGTACTGAAGAGTCCGACTTGCCACCTTTGCTTTTGGGGAGTCGGGAGGGGTGGGTTGTGTTTGTGCTTACAGTGCTGGGGCTGAGCCCAGGGCTTCATGAAAGGGCTCTCCCTCTATCACTGAGTGACATTCCCAGCCCCTGCTACCTGTTTTTTTATGGCCCAAGAGCTAAGAATGGTCTTTACTGTTTTCAGTATTTTGGGGGGAGGGCAAAAAAAATTTCCTTTGACCTGTGAAAACCATATGAAATTTAGATTTCACTTTCCATAAGTAAGGTTTTGTTAGAATATAGCCTCACCCTCTGTTTATATGTTGTCTGTGGCTGCTTTTGCACACAGTGCAGAGTTGAGTCGTTGTGACTCAGACCCTATTGCCCGTAAAACCAAAAGTATTTACTTATCTGGCCCTTTACTGCAAGGGTTCTGGCTCTGGAACTTAGCCCTGACCTTAGCTTTTCCGCTGAAAGACTTTCTCCTTTGGGCCCGTGACTTGACATCTCCAGGTCTTAATTTTACTCCTTACAAGTAAATTTGTCACAGTGTCACCCGATCCTTCGTAGAATCATTGTAAAGATACATGAGATAGTGCATTTAAGTCGGGGCCATCAATAATTTATGAATTAGTAGGTTAATAAATATTGGCTACTGGAGTAATTTTTTTAGTGAGCAAGTGTTTTTAGTTCTTAAACTCCTAATGAATTTTTTTCTTTTTTTATTTTATGAAAAATTTAATAACAGAATAAATAATATACTATATCATTATCTTCAAACTAGTTACTCAGTACAAGACATAAATCAAAAAGATTCTTACAAAAAGAGCAGAGAAGAACTTAGGTTATTCTCATTTCTTTTCAGTGACCTAAGATCAATCAGTAGTGTAAATGAAACAAATTAGCATATATATTAAAATACTTTTGAAACAACAGATTACATAATTTGAAGAAGTATTTGAACTTCTCCCTACTTCGATTCACCTCACTTGTATTTTGCCCTTTATTTGTATATTTTTAATATTTTGTGTTTCTCATATAGGAGAAGCCATGGAGTATTTGAACTCATGTGTCTGGCTTATATCACTTACCATCAAAAAGGGGCAACTGACCAGAAGAAGTACAAATGGCCAGTAAATACATTTTAAAATGTTCAACATACTGACCACTAGAGAACGCAAATTAAAACTACACTGAGATACCATCTTACCCTAGAAAGAATAGCTGTCATCAAAAAATCTAATAAATTTATCTTTTAAAGTAAAAATTGAGCCAGGCATGGTGGTGTGCCTATAACTCTAGCGCTCGGAAGGCTGAGACAGGAGGATTGCTGTGAGTTGGAGGCCATCCTGGGCTTCATAGTGATTTCAAATCTAGACTGAGCTACATAGCAAGACTCTGTCTCAAAACATAACCAAAATAAATAAAATAAAACATAAAATCAAGATTAAGACTGAAGCCCACAAAGGGAGTATTCCGTATGGCAGTCTGTCCTTTCTCATCTGCCGTGATTACTTTAGCTGGCAATATTTTTATCTTTGCTTTCTGAGTCATTTAAGAAAACTGTGAACAAGAAGCCCAGACTTACCCATATGATGAAAATCTAACTTGATAAGAGTTTGCGGTTCTCACTCAGTGCTTTCTACCCTTGCTTTCTCCCCGCTGGCCACTAGAGCAGACCGCACACTGGCCTGCCAGTGCCGTCCCTTGCAGGTTCTCCTCCCCTTCCCTGCTGCTCCTCTCCTAAACCTCAGCACTCAATCACTATGGGTTTAACTCTGTTTCTGTCGGTGCCTGGGCCTCTGGGCCCCTGGCTAAAATCTGATCACTTGTGTGAGAACAGAGAAAAAAAAAGTAAACTCATCTCAGGGAGACTTGTAAGCAGGATGTGTTTACCTGCCTCCCTGCTGACCAGTTCTTCCAGTGCTTCACGCTCTAAGCAAATTCACTGCAGGCTTCCCCCAGAAGACTCACCACTGCCCAAGTCCTGTCCATCTGGTCTTTCGCCGAGTTCTGCTTTTTATAAATTCTTCAGCTCTACTCTTTAGTCTACTGAATTCGACCCTTTCTTCTCCCTCCCGGTGGCTGTCATTCAGGCTCCTGCACGGCTAGCAGTTTCTCCCTCATTATGCAACATGCTCTTCTCCCTGACCTTGTGCTGCTCTGTTCTAGATAAAGTTGTCTTCTGGTAGATTCGTGGCAGTAGTGGGTCTAGGTTCCCCCGTGACTGTAATGAGTTGGACCTGAGTAGCCAGCCAGCTGTCATCTATACCTGTCCCTCTCTCCCAGTTGTCCCTCTAGCACTTGTCCTCTTTACTCACTGTTAATTCTTTGCCTGGCTGGAATAGGCTTTGAAGTTTGTGCTCCTGGGAAGAGCTCCATCTGGTTCTCCCACTGCAGCCAAGCCCTCATTTTAACAACCTTCACTATCAAGCCAGGTATGGTGGCACACACCTGTAATGCCAGCACCCAAGAGGCTGAGGAGGAAGATTCCTGTGAGTATAAGGCCAGCCTGGGCTACAAAGTGAGCCCAAGGCCACCCTGAACTGCATAGCAAAACCCTGTCTCAAAAGGACAAAAAAAAATTTTTTTAAGTCCTCCAGATTCACTCTTCACAGTCTTTCTTTGGCTTCCCAGACAGTCTTTATTTCTTCTGTGTCTGAGGATTCTGCACAGGAAACACTGAAGTAGATATTTGATCATCTTGGAAAAAAAATTTTTTTTGAAAACAAGGTTTTGCTCTGTAATTCAGGCTGGCCCTGAACTCCTTATGTAGTTCAGACTGGCCTCCAACTCATGGCGATCCTTCTGTCTCAGCCTCCTAAGTGTTGGCATTAGGTGTGAACTACCATACCCGGCTTCACCTTGAAAGTCTGCATTGACCTAGAGACAAAGAAATCAAGCCCTATCTGAAATCTCACAAACTAAGGCCGAGCAAGAATGAGGAAGCTAGATTCAAACTAGGGTCTTACATATGCAATGATTTCCAAAGCCTCAAAGATTTTTTTTTGGGCAAAATAATTTTTCTATTTTCCTTTCAAACATCATGATGATTATCTAACTCCAGGTTACACATTTGGAACAGAAACAATGAGACAGACAAGTTATTTATAACAGGTGATATGTATGGATGCAAAAAGAGTTTATGGGGGGGGGGGGGCGTGGCCGGGATAGAAAAATAGCCCTGAGGTTATACACTGCATTATGCAGCGTGTTTGTGGTCTTCAAAGCATGGGAGCCCCGGCTTGGCTACCAGTTCCTTCCTGTAAGTATGCAATGCAGTACAAGTTCTGCAGCACTGTTTTCAACTCTAGTGCCCCAGTATTGCCTTCTTTATTGTGGCCCCCACTGACTAGACTGGCAGAAAGTGCTAACGTCCCCGGGGGAAGGGAAGATTGTTAGTGCACCAACTTCCCCTCCTCTTCCGGTTCCTCTAGGCATCCATTTCTTTCTTTTTTGGTACCAGGGATTGAACTCATGACCTGCGCTTGCCGCGCTGATACTTAAGCCACTGAACTAAATCCCTGGCCCCAAGCTGTCCATTTCTTATAGGAGAGGAAGAGAAGACGAGAGGTAGTGGCCCACGCATCTCAGCCACCGTTTGTACCTTCCCATATGTGTGTATTTACCCTGTGCTGTTCCAAGGGTGACTGGAGCAGCTTGGTTTTCTGCTGCGGTATTCTTTTCCCTGCCTCCTGGCACCTTAGAGACGGATGGGTCCTTTGGGTATCCAATTATGTCTCTCAGGTTGGGTTGCTCTAATTTTAGGATGACTTAGACTCAAATGTGATGCTTTTATCAATACTGAACACTTAGCAGCTCTTCCTCTGGCTTGGTAGGAGACCACAGTTAGCGCAGGAGCAGGAGCATTCTGGGCTGGCAGCCTCTCCCAAAAGATGGAAAGCCCAGTCACAAATGTCAGTGGTCCTTGCAGCAAGACACTACTGGATTGTTCTCATTTGCCTCCCAGTGTGAAGGGGCGGGGGCTTGGGCCTCAGTACAAAGGCGGCATTTGTGGAATGGAATGGCTGCCTGTGTGGCACTCTGCTCCTCACTGAACGGTTAGCTCCATTGGTAGACTGAAGTGCAGATCTCCTATCCCTCCAGGCCTATAACCCCCCTCCCTGGCCTGCTGCAGAGAGACCTGGCCCAGTTCTGCACCAGGCTGGTGCTTGTTCTCGGGTGTACAGGGGGAAGGTGAGCACATGGTGGTCACCTCCGTTGCCCAGCCCACCTCTCCCACTGCCCGGTGCACAGCCTACTGGACTGTGAGCTGAGTCCAGCGTGCACCGTGCAGTGCTGTGTTCATCCCTCTGCTATGTAGTTTTCCACTGTCTCTGGACATCAGCTTTTCTGCTATAAATGTTCATTATGGAAAAATACAGAAAAGGAGAAAGAGGAAGTGCATACAGCCCTGCACTCCCAAACAATCTCGGTTACTATTTTAATAGTTTGCTTCCAGTGCTGTTCTGGTGTGTAGTACATACCTTCCATCTCCTGAGCCAAGTTTAGAGTCACTGACAGCCTCCTCGCGTCCCCTCTCATGGGATCTGCTGTCTTTGAGGTTACAGCTCTGTAGTGGATGAACGCTGACTTTTTTATTTTTTGATCAATGACACTCTTGTCTCTTCTCTTTCTTGGCCTCCCATTTTCTCAAGCTCAGCAGTCAGGTGCCAAAATGTTCATCTTTGTCACCGTTACAGCTC